TGTGTGTGTGTGTGTTTGTGTGTGTGTGTGTGTGTGTGTGAATTATTCTACTTGTTTTTATTATCTCGACACTGAATTTCTATAAAAAAAAACAGCCTTTCTAACCTAACCTAATCTAATTTAAACCCAAACTCAAATTCGTCCCATGTCATTCTAGATAATTCCCCAAACAATAATAATGAACGAAAAAAATACTTAATAAAAACAAACAAACAAACAAACAGGACAACATATTGGTAAAAAAAACAATGGTCCTTTGCGGCTACGTCACTAATCAATTGGTTGAGGGGATACGCCGTTGTTAATTGTTTGGTAATGGAAATAGGGATTTATATACTGTATCGTATATTCGGGTCACGCACTGGGGAGGGGGAGGGGGGGGGTGAGGTCGTTTAACGTTTATCTTGTTTTTGTTGTAATATATATATTTTTTTTAATAATAATGTGTGTGTGTGTGTGTGTGTGTGTGTGTGTGTGTGTGTGTGCGTGTGTGTGAGTGTATGAGTGTTTTGTTATTTAAGCTTGTTTAGAAATGTAAATGGTTTGTGATATGGAGTAATCTATTATTATTATTATTATTATTATTATTATTATTATTATTATTAACTATGAGCTGCCCTGAAGACCAACACCTGTCCTTCTTTTTCAACATCACCCACCATCTCCCGTCCCCTGCTATTTCCGGGTCTCTTATACCGTCTCAGTCTCGATCTCTCTGACGGTGGTTCTGCCATAAGAGTGAATATCGCCGTGGTTTGATCTCGTTTAAGCTTGTGAGGTATACAGGGCGTCTCGTTGTACGTAAGTTGATTGGTAAGCTCTTGTGGGAGAGGTAACTGGTTGATGTCATTTAATTCCGGGTTATGTTGTCTTCATAACTCATGATCGTAAACTGGACCTATAGGGTGATTTTTCTTGGGTTAAGTTAGGTTAGGTTAGGTTAGATTTGGTTAGATCGAGATACTCGTTTAATTTAATTATTCCTTAGCATTAAAAACAAACATTGTGTCTGATCATCCAATTAAACAAATCTTATATTCTCAGGTAAGTGGGAGTAATACCATGTAAGGTAGTACAGGTGAGGTTATGTGTGTTCAATCGATCTCAATACTCACTTCAGTTACCTTAGTTCTCTCTCTCTCAGTTGTGTAAATAAGTGAGGGTAGGGTAAGCGGTTCCTCCCTAATGAAGGTTTGTTCTTGTTGCTTGACTGAAGGTAATGATGTGTGTGTGTGTGTGTGTGTGTGTGTGTGTGTGTGTGTGTGTGTGTGTGTGTTTTAATAACTCATAACTATTATCTATCTATCTATCTATCTATCTATAGTCACTGAATATCTATCTCTCTCCTTCACACACACACACACACACACCAGGTGAGAAGAAACGCAGGTGTTCAAGAAGGCAGGTACAAAACAGAGCTCTAAATCCACAACTAATAACACGTCTCACTTGGCTACCGTGTGTTGGGAATATTGGCTCCCGAGGCATCACTGGGCTACGTGCTGGTCTGGAGGGCTGGGATTCTGGTGTAACTTTTAGGGAGGCCAAGATTTTCCTCTGATTAAGGCGTCTATTTTAGATATTGTTTCTGTAAATAGAGTCTTATGTTAGTGTGTGTGTGTGTGTGTGTTTTACTAGATATGGTTCTATTTTAATGAGCTTTTCTATCTAGAAAGGGTTCTGTTTGGGCCCATCAGGTCTCTATTTTTGTGATGTTTCCCTGACTGGTGGATGGCCCTCAATGGATCTCTGGTTGATGGCCCTCACTGTAGCTCTGGTGGATGGCCCTCACTGGACCTATGGTGGATGGCCCTCACTAGACCTTTGGTAGATGGCTCTCACTGGACCTCTGGTAGATGGCCCTCACCAGACCTCTGGTGGATGGTCATCACTGTACCCTTGTTGGACGGCTCTCACTGGACCTCTGCTTGATGGCCCTCACTTAAGAATAAATATAATTAATATTAAAGAAAGATTATCGTAGATATAAAACAATAACAAAGACAACAAAGTAAATACCGTCAGTAACCGAGGAGAGTGTGTGGTGGTTGACGCCCTGACGGTGAAACATAACCACACAAACTAAGGAAATTACAGGCCAGTTAATTTTGACCATGACAAAGTGTCGACGAGTCTGGCTCACGCTAACACAAATCAACGCCAATTTTGCAACGGGACGAGCAATAATGAAGGGTTGAGTTGGTGGGGAATGAAAGTAGACGAGGGATTGATAGTGGCGTGAGTGTGTTGGCTGGCCAGGGGTAACGTACACACAACACTAATGAAAGATATCTCTAAGTTATAACGAACGTAAGACCCCCCCAGAGTAAAGATAGACGACGGTAGAAATAACAGGAGATAGAAATTGATTAAGGGTGAACCGACACCATGAAGTGAGATTAAGTTTGATGGAGGCAAATATGAACACGAATTCTTGTAGACGCTATCGAGTAATGACAGCATGTGGACCTCATTAACACCAAAAAAATAAAAAATATTAACGTTTTTGTATTTTTCCTTTTGTTTCTGTTATTTTCTTTCTGTCACGAATATCTATCTACCTCGCCATCTCTCTTACGTCTTCGTTATATTCGTCATGTGTACCGAGCCGACTAAGCCGGTTTAGTATTAGTATAACGAAGGTGTAATGTATTGTGAAAAAGAGTATGAGTATTTTAGATGTTTTCCCGCAATAATAGTGAAGGCGATGAGTAAGTGTGTAAACGTGTGTGGATTTTTATACCGTGTTGGGATATATCGTCCACACACACACACACACACACACACACACACACACAAATAAACCTCTGAAAGTCTATATATTTGTATATATGTGTCTATCTCTCTCTCCACCTTTCTCTCCCTCGTTTTCCTTCTCATACTCTCTCTCTCTCTCTCTCGATATTGAAGAAAGTGAGGCAGCAGTATCAGATGAGGGGGATGCAGGAGGTGGTGGCACTCGTAAAGTGACCCGGACAAGGTTCCGCCTTTTCCCTTACGACCACAGTGCCAAATTTAGGTCAGCAAGCGAGAGTGGCCCTCCTCCCTCACCTGCACGTGTGGCGGTGAGGTCATTAACTCTCCTCCATTCATTTCATTCACTCCATTCATTTCAGTCTCTTTTTTTCATTCGTTTTATATATTTGAATAATTTTTTACCGTTTCTTCATTTCTTTATCCATTTATTCATTTGATTTTACTAATTGATGCTTTCGTTCTGTTATTTTGTTTTCTTTTGCTTATTTCATTCAATTTCTTTCATTTCGTTCATTCATTTCATATGATTCCGTTCAGTTATTGAATGTTTCATTTCATTTCGTTCATCCATTCAATTAATTAATTTATTTGATTAATTTCTTTCACACAGCCATATATTAATTTCCTTTATTATTTCTTTCATTCATTCATTCATTCATTCATTCCACAGCCAGTACACCACATTTGAGTATATATACTGTACAGGGTGTCCCAAAAATTAAATACCACATTTTTATTTACTGAGTACCTAAAATATTTAACGCATTACTAATATGATTTTTTTTCATTTACATTTCAGGTACACACACACACACACACACACACACACACACAACCCGCTACCCTACCTTAATTAAGACAAATTTCATATCTGGTTTGTAAACACCACCTTAATTCCTGTCATCAATTATGTGCATGTATGTGTGTGTGTGTGTGTGCGTGTGTGTGGTGGGGTGAGGTGAACCTGAAAAACAGACACAGTATCTTATTTGTTGAATACACTCACACACACACACACACACACACACACACACACACACACACACACACACACTCACACACTTAATTACACTCTTCTCTCTACACTTCTATGTAATTATCCACTAAATTACATAACACTCTTCATAAACCATTAAACCTTACATTATCTTATACAAACATGACCAGGAATTAAGTTATTTTCATTCACGTATCAATTTTACTCATGTTAATAATTTTACTTTAGTCATCCATTAACGTTTTCTTTTAAGACAATTTGTTTATTTTTTTCCATTTTCTTTGTTTATTGATTTATTTGGTTATTTTTCATTATTGTTGGTTGATGTTTGTTTACAATATTAAGTTGCGTTGAACGAAAAAGAAAGTGAAAGTCAGTGGTTGTAGGAGAGTGAGAATATAAGTAGAGAAAGAGAGAGAGAGAGAGAGAGAGAGAGAGAGACACGATAAAAGACAGATAAAAAGATATATAAAGAGAGAGATACTGTACACATACTCTTGAGAAATACTAAACATCACTTCCAGGTTGTAATTAAAAGAGACTGAGAGACATACAGCTATATATTTAGTTTCATGTGATTATTTAACTTACAATATATGATGAGAAGTTACAACACGTAGCTAAAAGGTTGACTTAACAGATGGGTCCCGGGTCCTAATGAGTCCAAGTGGGCCCCGAAGTCCAACTAGGCCCCAAGTCCCGGTAGTTTACAGTTCCAAAAAGACCCCAAGTCATTATGAGCCCAAGTTCTATTGGGCCTCAAGTCCTAAGTGGCCCCTTGTCCTAAGTGGCCCCAAGTCCTAAGGGGCCCCAAGTCCTAAGTGACCCCAAGTCCTAAGGGGCCCCAAGTCCTAAGTGGCCTCAAGTCCTAAGGGGCCCCAAGTCCTAAGGGGCCTTAGGTGTTCCATTACAATACTAAGGCTTAATGAAAATATTATCTAGAGGTTCCATATTTGGTTATCTTTAGTGATAACATTGATCACATAAGATAACAAGATACCATTGACCATACACGATAACAAGTATGATAGCACATTATATTGGTGAGTGATAGGAGAACATAACACTTATTCACAGACAGACTGACAAACAGATATACAGTAAAACAGACAGATAGTTAGACAGACAGACAATAAAGATTACTTCTAAACGTTAACTTTTATTCTTTGGTGACACATATTATAAGAATTGAATGAATGGTGTAACGATATATTTCTCGTACACACACACACACACACACACACACACACACACACACACACATTCTCTCTCTCTCTCTCTCTCCCTTCAAGAATTTACTGAAGTTCTTAGGGTAAGATAGTTTAAGTTTTATGAGAGACATCTGGTGAGAATCTGATAGCCACTTTGTTAGATGGGGTCCTCATCATGGTGCTGTGAGAGACATCTGGTAGAGAGACACTCCTAGGAACCTTAGAGATGGTAGACTAGTTGATGTCCTCGTCTTGGTGTTGTGAGAGACAGCAGGTGAGGATCTGGTAGAGAGACACACCCAGGAAGAGAGAGGCTAGAGACTCCACGTTGGATACAAGCTGTACACTGCTGTATGACCAAGACTCCAGGATCTGTAGACGAGAGAGGGAGAGATAATACTGTAATTCTCAAGCTAGAGTGAGAGAACAAAGAACGAGGGAGAGATAATACTGTAATTCTCAAGCTAGAGTGAGTGAACAAAGAACGAGGGAGAGATAATACTGTAATTCTCAAGCTAGAGTGAGAGAACAAAGAACGAGAGAGAGATAATACTGTAATTCTCAAGCTAGAGTGAGAGAACAAAGAACGAGGGAGAGATAATACTGTAATTCTCAAGCTAGAGTGAGAGAACAAAGAACGAGGGAGAGATAATATTGTAATTCTCAAGCTAGAGTGAGAGAACAAAGAACGAGGGAGAGATAATACTGTAATTCTCAAGCTAGAGTGAGAGAACAAAGAACGAGGGAGAGATAATATTGTAATTCTCAAGCTAGAGTGAGAGAACAAAGAACGAGAGAGAGATAATACTGTAATTCTCAAGCTAGAGTGAGTGAACAACGAACGAGGAGATAATACTGTATAGAGGAGAGACAAGAACGGATAATTTGTTGCTAGAGGGAGAACAGAACGAGGAGAATATAATTCTCAAGCTAGAGGAGAAAAAGAACGAGGAGAGATAATACTGTAATTCTCAAGCTAGAGTGAGAGAACAAAGAACGAGGAGAGATAATTGTAATTCTCAAGCTAGAGTGAGAGAACAAAGAACGAGGGAGAGATAATACTGTAATTCTCAAGCTAGAGTGAGAGAACAACGAACGAGGGAGAGATAATACTGTATTCTCAAGCTAGAGTGAGAGACAACGAGGAGAGAAATAATTCTCAAGCTAGAGTGAGAGAACAAAGAACGAGGAGAGATAATATTGTAATTCTCAAGCTAGAGTGAGTGAACAACGAACGAACGAGGGAGAGATAATACTGCAGTTCTCATTATGGTCACCTGGTTGTACATGGGTCTCTCGAAGGCGACCTCAATGTTGTTGTCTGCGTCAGTTGTGTCGGTGGTGGTGTAGTGCAGGACGCGGCAGGTCTCGGGGCAGGAGGTTAGGCAGGCGGCCTCTACCTCACTCTGGTTGGCCAGCGACCCCACCACGGATGCTGTGTACTTGGGAAACTTCACGTACTGCTCTCTGTTGTTGGTATGGGAAGGATGGGACGTTAGGATGAGGTCACACACACACACACACACACACACACCTTTACGGAGGACAAAAAGCTTATCAGAAACTAATAAAGTTCCTCAAAAAGGTAATCAAAAACATTGTGTCACTGATGGGGAAAGTTTGTATAAAAGAGTAAATGGAAAGAGAATATTAAAAAAAAAAGATGATTAGAAATATTGGCAATCAGATAAGAAGCTTGGACAGAGGAATATATCGGGAAAACATTATTGTGTGACGTGTGTAAATGGCAGGCGAGGAGGGCCGTGTTATTAGTGAGTCTTGGTGCTTCAGTTGGCAGTGACAGTGAGCGCCTAGAACAGGGTCAGTGAACACCTAGGACAGGGTCAGTGAACACCTAAGACAGGGTCAGTGAACACTTAGGACAGGATCAGTGAACAGGGAATACAAGAGTCAATTTTTTACAACAAACAACACTTAAAGATATGAAGCAGCACAGAACCACGTTGTTGACCTGGAGCAGAGCTTGGCGGAGGACCAGGGAGTGTAGGGGAGGCGGCAGCTGTGTTGGGTGACGGCAGCGAGGGCAACACACCGCTGTAGACAAACAGCCTGCGATCCTCCCTCCACCTCCGCCTCCGTTACACACGGCAGCCGCCAGACTTCAGACGGTCGTACAGGTCCAGCGACACGCGGATCCTCGTCTTCACCTTATTGGCCGTCGGCACCAGCTGTGAGAAAACCCATTAAATGAACTAGTAAATCCTTCGCGGCCCCATCTACCTACACCTCGACACATATATGTTCTACCACATCAAGTCTTCGTAAACACAGTTAAAACAGTACAAGAAATTCCCAGAGCGAAAACCAGCCAGAGGTGCGAACAGTCATAAATGTGTCCTAGTAACGTGTTCAAGTTTGCTTCGGTCCTCCCTGTTACTGTGTCTCACCTCAGTAATAGTGTCCGTGTGTGTGTGTGTCGAAGCTATGGCACTGATCTTCACTACTACTAAAGCCGTAACTCACCTGGGTAGCAGTGATGCCGTCCATCAGGAGGGGCGGGTGTCCTGGTGGGTGGACCAACACGTACATCTTAAAGTGTTCTTGGTAACACTTCCAGTCGTGGACGTACTTAGGCTTGAACCTGTCCTCGGCTGGCCAGAAATACTTGGCATCTGTACACCTCTCGACCCCATTGTACTCACGACTCAGTTTCTGGTGAAGGTCATGTACACTTTACACACGTACAGTACTGTTCACTTACACACGAAAAGGTCATAGATGTATATTATCATCAATCAAGGCGACTCATTTTCTAGAAAGTCTCACATGTATTAGTTAATCAGTCATAACTATTGGCTTCTTCTCGACCACCTTTGTTTACACTTTTACGGTTCACTAATAATAATGGTTGCCCTCGTGTAGGAGGGATGGCCGGCCAAAGGGCCACCTAGGCGTGAATTTGTTTAAGGTGTAGAAGCTGTCGCCAACACAACAACCACACCCTGAGTTAACGAGCTGCATGACCCAGTGTCAAGGAATAATCCGAGAAGACCGGACAACTCGCCAACTGCACTAGCTAACCATTACCCCGGAATACGATCCGCAAATAAATTAACATCCAGTTTCCCAATTACTGCTGGGTAGACAGAGGCAAATGGCGTAAAGAAACTTGCCCATAGTTCACTACACTAACAATGACTGTCCTATATCAATCTCGAGCTGCAGTGCGTCCCCGTCTTTAGTGAAAATAGTGAGGGGGTCGGATCCTAGTCAGTGGTATATGCATACCCAGATTTAGCGTAAATAGAATAAGAGCCGAACCCAGGCTGTGGTAAGTACCCGGCTTTAGTGTAAAAGAGAGTGAGAGCCGGACCTGGGCCAGAAGCCACTTCCTATGAAAACAGCGCCATTTTCTCCAGGTCGTTGCAGCTGGGAACAGGGCGAAGCAGCACATATTTTCTTCCTAACCTTGCCTATGCTTTCTCCACTTTCTTTGTTTATGTCTATACTTTAATCTATGTGTTTTCTTAACTTTACTTATTTATTCTAAACTATATAAATCCGTTGACCTTTTCCATCTTTAATTTTCTTCCTTTATTGTTTTTCTGTTAACTTTATTTGTTTTCTTAGATTTACTTATTTATTCATATGTCCGTCATCCACTCATCCGTAAACTCCCAACACTCCTCGACATCTCCTTCAAAACTGGCCTCTCAATTTCGCTCAAACTTTACAACATTGTTCTCAGGTCGCCTCTCACCCCGTGTGTCCAGTGTCATCACTCTTAGTCTCTCTCCGTTTTCTTTATTCCTTGTACTTTCGTCTGATTGGTGAAATTTCTAAAGCAGGCAAAGCAAATATGACTAAGAGGCGAGGGTAGGGTAGGGTAGGGGTAGGTTAACGAGAGGATATAAAAGAGAGAGAGGAAAGGCGGAGGAATAAAGTGAGGATGAGAAAGAAAACAAAACGAACGAACGACTGATAAGGGGAAGGTTATGAGAGACAAAAGGAGAGAGAGAGAGGCGGGGGGGCACTGAAAGAGAGAGAAGTGAGAGCCAGAGAGAAGTGAGAGCCAGATGAGTGAGTGAGAGAGAGAGAATGAAAACCGCCTACCTTAAGCTGGAGAATGAAGTAGGTGTGGGCGGACGAGGCGGTGGGCGGGGGTAAAGGTGAAGCAGCGGTTGAGGGCGGAAAGGGTGGGCTGGAGGGGCGTATCGTGGGCGTCGCTGTCTTTAACTTGATACGTCTGACCTGCGAACTGTTAGAGAGGTGGAGGTATAGGGTCATTATCTTGGTTCATGACCTTACCTGACCTCACCTAACCTGTTTTATGAGGTAGTTTGAGAGATTAGAATGAGGTGAGTGGTGAGGTGTTACTCTTGAGGGAGGAGGCGCTGGTGGTAGTAGTGGTACTGATGGTAGTGGTGGTAATGATGGTAGTGGTGGTAATGATGGTGGTGAAGGTAGTGGTGGGAGTGATGGTAATGGTGGGAGTGATGGTAATGGTGGTACTGACGGTAGTGATGGTACTGACGGTAGTGATGGTACTGACGGTAGTGATGGTAATGATGGTGGTGAAGGTAGGAGTGATGGTAATGGTGGGAGTGATGGTAGTGGTGGTACTGACGGTAGTGATGGTACTGACGGTAGTGATGGTACTGACGGTAGTGATGGTAGTGATGGTAATGATGGCAGTACTGTGGAACTGACCTTGTAGGAGATGAAGAGATCAGAGGGTCTCCAGGCTGCCTCTTCCCATACCTGGTCAAGGTCTTGGTCCCACGCAGCCCCTGGTAGCTCCCACAACAGCTCCTCGTACACCTGCATCCACTCACACCTGTAGCACATATATGTCATACATAAGACAACTACTACTCCACCACACCTGTCGTACACGTACAAGTTTGTGTCATATTATTTTTTTTTTCTCTCTCTCTCTCTCTGTTATTGCGCCGTGAATAAGTCGAAAAAATGCCTCGTCTGACTGTCACTTTAACTAAAAACGATCATGCATACCAAACCACGTCACGTCCTAAAGCCTGCGATCACACACACACACACACTCACTAACTTCAGCTTGTAGTAGATGCCGTTGTAGACTCTGACACAGTGATGCGAGAAGTTGTATTTCACACCAATATCCTCCAGACGTTTAGGGTTGAAAGGTGGCCACATACAGACGGTGACTCCGGGAAACACCACCTCCTCCAGGTAACGTGACTCATAACTGCGGACAGGCGGATCATTATTGGTCTACACGTCTCACCTACAGAAGACAGTATCTCACCTGCAGAAGACAGTATCTCACCTACAAAAGACAGTACCTCACCTGCAGAAGACAGTATCTCACCTACAAAAGACAGTACCTCACCTGCAGAAGACAGTATCTCACCTGCAGAAGACAGTATCTCACCTACAAAAGACAGTATCTCACCTGCAGAAGACAGTACCTCACCTACAGAAGACAGTACCTCACCTGCAGAAGACAGTACCTCACCTACAGAAGACAGTATCTCACCTACAGAAGACAGTATCTCACCTGCAGAAGACAGTATCTCACCTACAAAAGACAGTACCTCACCTGCAGAAGACAGTATCTCACCTGCAGAAGACAGTATCTCACCTACAAAAGACAGTACCTCACCTGCAGAAGACAGTACCTCAGCTACAGAAGACAGTACCTCACCTAGAGAAGACAGTACCTCACCTACAGAAGACAGTACCTCACCTAGAGAAGATAAGTATCTCAAACCCACAGAAGATAAAAGTATCTCACCTACAGAAGACAGTACCTCACCTATAGAAGACAGTACCTCACCTACAGAAGACAGTACCTTACCTACAGAAAACAGTACCTCACTTACAGAAGACAGTATTTCACTTACAGAAGACAGCACCTCACCTACAGAAGACAGTACCTCACCTATAGAAGACAGTACCTCACCTACAGAAGACAGTACCTACAGACAGTACCTCACCTACAGAAGACAGTATCTCACCTACAGAAGACAGCACCTCACCTACAGAAGACAGTACCTCACCTGCAGAAGACAGTACCTCACCTACATATGACAGTACCTCACCTGGTAAACACAGGGGAGGAGGCGTAGTCCTGCCACTGGAGGAGCGCCATGGAGCAGAAGATAACAGCACAAGGGACCACCGCTGCCAGCCGCCACACTCTCCCAGTACTCCACCCACAGACACACAAACACACGGTCACAACATGCTCATTAAACGGAACGATTATCGTAAGGATTTATATATCTGTTTAATCTGTCAATCCCTGTCCGTCCGTCCGTCAGTCTGCCCGCCCGTCCATCTGTCCGTCCGTGAAGTATTTAGAAGAGAAAATGTCACCTTGCAAATGTGTTCTCTCTTCCAAATATTGATTGAAGTTATGATGATGAAGGAACAGATCAATAATTGGATTTTTTTTTCTTTCTGGCTCAATTATTGCGTCAAGGGGTAAGCGAGACAATATAAACTAGGTAATAATTTTAGTGGTGACAAACATGGCTCGCAAAGTTACCATGTGGACATAACTTATAAATGTCTCTTATATTTATCTACTTCACTCTTTCCAACAAATAAAATGTACAGTTATTTTTTTAGGAAGGTCTGTATTATGTTGGTGATAATTAGTTTAACCATAAATAATGTTAGAGAATATCTAAAAAAAACTTATACAGCATGGGAGGAACGAGGCTAAAAATGAGTGGATAAAGAAAATGTTTAGACAAAGAAATATGATAAGAAAGTGAGGTTTACCAAAAAATTAACAAAGGAATGTAGACAGGCCATGAAAGGTTATTTAGAAAGGATATACGGGGACATAGAAGTGATGACAAAAGATATAATTTAGGATATGTACACAGAGAGATTAAACAAATGAACCAGAATAAAGGAAATAAATGGGGTGAGACTATTAAAAACAAAGACAATAAGATCCTATTTGAGGCAGAAGAAGTAAAAGAGAGATGGGAAAAGTATGAAGAGAGTGAAAAATAGTTAGAGAATTTACCTACAGTTCATTCCTGCAATTGAATCAAATCTCTCAGACCTGATATTTGCGAGGCGAGTGTACTGACCGCTACACCATGGCTCACCGTAGACCTGGGCCGGGAGGTGCTGATACAGGCGTGGTTTCAGTCGAGTATCTGTGGTAACAATGAGAAGAAGTCGAGTGATGGTTTCGTTTCACGTTCTCAACTCACCTACTGATGTCGTCCCCTGCAGGTAGTGTGAGAGTTTTCCCTTCAGAGGGCTGAGGTCTGCTCCAGGCTGACATGTTGAAGGGGGTGATGGGGAGGTAGGCAGGTGGTGGCTGCTGGCACTGTGCGTGAGGGAGGTGGTAAGAGGCTCGGGTCCGACACACGGTGGGGCTCTTGTCATCACCCGGAAGAGCGATGCTGATTGTTTCATGGTGTAGTGTGGGTGTGTCATGGTGTAGTGTGGGTGTGTCATGGTGTAGTGTGGGTGTGTCATGGTGTAGTGTGGGTGTGTCATGGTGTAGTGTGGATGTGTCGTGGTGTAGTGTGGGTGTGTCATGGTGTAGTGTGGGTGTGTCATGGTGTAGTGTGGGTGTGTCATGGTGTAGTGTGGGTGTGTCATGGTGTAGTGAGGACGTACCATGGTTTACTGTGGGTGTATCGTGGTGGAGGTAGTTGGGGCTTATTCCCTCAGGTGGGGTGTAGGTGGCTGGCTGTACAGGCGGCCTGGGTGGCTGTGTGGAGTGGAGTGGGTAGTCTCGCCTTCTGGCTGGGCGGCGCCGTTCTCGCAGCCAGTCTCCTACCCTACACACACACACACAAGATAGTGTTGTTGATTATAATAGTGAAGACAAAAATTAAGAAATCCTACAATATATATATATATATATATATATATATATATATATATATATATATATATATATATATATATATATATATATATATATATATATATATATATATATATATATAAAGGATTCATTTATTTCTTGATACTTAATACTGGATTTTTTTTTAAGAACAAATTATTTTTTTTTTAACATATTCCCAGAGGTGAGTTTTTTCTTCTCCATATTCTATGTTTACATTAAAAGTTTTTAGGGCATCAGTGTGCAGCTCGTGTTCCAGCGGCTGTTATCGGCGGGTCCTCTTGCCAGAATCACACATTTTAGTGACGGGTTGTTTTAATTTTGCCGGGGCGTCCCTGGCAACACACAACACGGCGGTAATGGTGAGTTTGGCCTGGATTTCAACGGCTTGGCGGCAAAGTTTTAAGTGTCCATGAATAATCGAGACCGGGCTCGACGGTGACGACAGTACAGTGGCATTTTGTTACCTGGTGATTACTTACCTGTGAGCGGTGGAGACGACGACGGCGGCGCAGAAAGCGAGAAGAGCTCCTGCGTCGTGGAGTAGTGAGAGGACTGAGAACCCGAGATAGAGACCAATGGCGCCCCCTACCTCACAGATGGCCCGGTTCAGGGGCCACACCAGCCGCTCCTGCGTCACCGTGTGGGGCGACCCGTCACGACCCACCCGCACCGGGCCCTGTGTTGTGCATACTGCCGCGTCACATGTTGATCCATCACATATTATATATACGTTGTTGCGTCATTTATAGTATGCTGCATTCCAAATAATTCTTGCGTCACATATACACGGCTGCGTCATATATTGCTATGATGTACTTTGCTATGTCACTTATACATTACTACACCACATACGCATGATGCGTCACACATATACTACTGTATTACTTGTTGCGTCATACGCTGCTGCGTCAATCACTCCATCACACCCATTTGCTTCACACACGCTTACTGCACCACATACTTATAAAGTGTCACTGTTACCCATTCATACGGTGATTTTTTTCTCTCACGTGGAGGAAGAAAGACCTACCTGGTTGCCAGATTCAGAGTAGAATGGTCTGATGTTGAGGAAGACTCTTTCACACTGTCTAAGGCAAGTCGCCGCACACTCTCCCCTCGCCTCCGCCATCTTCCTCCTGTCCACAGTCATTGATCCATTGCGAAACTCCCCGACGGTACACTGGTGCAGGTCCTCCCCCAGCAGGTAAGGTGGCGCACACCCGTGGTCGCGGGCCAGACTGGTGAGGATACACTCCTCTACACAGTTGCTTTGGGAGTAGCTGGAGGAGGAGGTGCAGGGGGCAGCTGGCGTGTCTATGAGGCGCCTTACGGTGTAGGATATGACCAGCTCCCTCAGGCAGCCAGAGTGTTGATAACAGTTCTTGTCTGGACCAACCTGCCACAGGTTAACATTATCAGGCCTGACCAGGAGTGGCGAGTCTCCCCAGGCAGTCACCTGCACACTCACCAGCCTCAAGGTTCCCAGGTAACCCAGCCATAAGCACTCCGTCTCGGGATACAGGTGAGAGCAGTTGAAGTTTTCGTATACATTAGTGGTGACAAATGTGAGAATATCTTGGTTGGTGTTGAGTGTTTCGTTAGTGTACTTGTAGCAGGTGTTAAGGCTGGTCACGACGGGCTGCCAGCTCTCAGACTCTCCCACTAAATCTTGATTAATAAGCAGATGCTGAGGTAATGTGGTAGACTCCCACACCTGCCGGACACTCAGGTTTGACGACATCCCATCAAGTTCATTCAAAAACGGCCACATCATCTCGTCCAACTCACACACCATCACTATCAAACCTTCATACCTGTCTCGGTCTTCCATACAGGATTTGTTGGTGTTGTTGAAGCCAAGCTGGACCATTTTGATGAGGGAGAAGGGCACCTCACTACACATCATCACCTCTGGGTCTTTTACTGCCTCCCGCGCCAACGATATCTGTGTTGATGTTGGGTAACTGAGGTATGATGACAGAGTACCTGAGGAGTGTATGAAGAAGGCCACCCCGAAAGCAGCGTACAGAGTTACGGTGAACCAGAGGTGTAGTCGAGAGCTTGGTGTTCCACCCCACAGTGTTGCCCAGTGAGACCCGCCAGGCTCCTCAGGTGACTCTTGACCAGAGCCTTGTAGTTCAGGAATTAAGGAATCATGCACTCTAGCAGCATTTTGTAATGAGGGATCTTTTGGACACCGCGAGAGTGGTGAGGACTGGCGCCGTGATGACTGTAGCCTCTCAGTGTGTGTTTCCTTTTCCTGAACCAACTGCTCGGGGACCTCGGCTTTGGAACTCCTGAAATAAACAAGCACAAGTTCCTCATCAATAAATGTGAAGATCAGAAGTGACTTGGATGATCTTAGGAAGGATAGGACGCCATAAGACTTTGGGAAGAAGCAAGACTCGAGGAGTTCAGGAGCGTGAAGCAGTGTGTCTGTTACGGTACAAGTGGTTGATAACATCGGGAAGTGAGGTTAATCAACTTTTAAGAGGACATAAAAATGAGAAGAAATTGTTGAAATTGATATACAGGTAGATGGATTAAGAGGTGAAATATGTACTGTACATAAATAACATCAACACTGAGGGAGACAGAGAGTAAAATGAATTAAGGCAATAAGAAAATACAAATTTTGTGTCATTACAGAGAGAACTAAACAAAGTGCTCTGGAGTCCTAGTTACTAGCACTGTACTGTGAAAGAGGCTGCGAGTCGATACATTCTGTAGGTGACCAGATATAAACTTCACCTCTGACAACACAGAAGTTTGAAGCGCTTCCATTTTTTATAGATGTTGAGTCCAAAGGTCACGATAGCCATGGCGATAGAGAAGCCGCAGGTGCCCAGCCAGAGGCCCATCCCGCCTCCCACGTCCGCCAGGAAGTTGAGTGAGGTGTAAGCCCTGCTCTCCACCACCCGCTTGTGCAGCATGGTGGCCATCTGCACTCTAACGGAGGGGCCACCGTCGTTCTTTATCTCCTGTTGGCTCACGTAATACACACGCCGCTGACATGAGGTACCGCAGTGACCGCACTTCAACCACCACTCCAATTCGCTGTGTAGGGCCTTATACTCCGCATTCCACAGTACATCCCAGGCCGCCATGCTTGGGCACGAGATGTTCTCCCCACCAGCCTCCACCGAGCAGTTGGCGAAAGATATGATCTCCTGAATGTAACACAGACGGAGGCAGCGACTATAATAGGCCGGTGTCTTGCAGGCTCGCTTGGGAGTGTTCTTGATCACGGTGTTGTCATATTGCAACCTCAGCGTCAAGGCTTCCTTAACTGCAATCTCCAGTGCTGGCTGCAGCATCCCCGGTACTGGCTCTTCGTCGGCAGCGTGAACCATGATGAAGAATCGCTGATCTCCAAACTGACGGTGATACTGCAACAAGCGCGTCCCACAGTCAATGTCACAGTCCTTCATCACCTCCTCACAGGAGTGCCAGGCCATGTTGGGACATCCCGTCACTACGTCTTCGGAGACGAATCTAACGTCAGCCACATCTACGTCGGCTTGGTGAAAACTTACGTTGGGATTCCAAGTGTAACAAGGCATCGACGCCAGACTGACTCTGACCCATTCAGCCCTCAACATCTCCCCAGCCCACTTTACCTCACTGATCATCTCCTGGGCGGTTAACTCAATGTCTCGCCAGACGAAGGGCTCGAAAGGCTTGAGATAGCCCCTCAGGGTGTACAGTGTATTGAAGACACAGTCGAACATATCGGTACAGGAAGTGTCGATGCCACCACGCACCAGGGCAGCCACACTCCACGGCTTGTGAGGGCACACGGTGATGGCCACCGCTGGCACTGCGTCCTCATCTGTCACTCGCATCGAAGAGTAGGTTGAAAAAGACAGTAACTCCTGGAAAGAGATCGACAATTGGAGCGTAAAAATTGCAAGACAGATTATGACCGCTATGCCCTGCCAGAGATCCTGCCATGCTTGACCTACAAGTCGGCCTCCTCGGTGTTCCTCCTGGCCCTGAAGCGCTTGACTTTTTTCCTTCATTATTATGTTTATGGACCTCCTGGCCAGTGAATATGTGTTTACTTCAGTGAACCTTCATGAGTAAGACGCCAAAATGACTGACGGCAGAGTGTTAGGTGAGGGTGTTGCCAAGACCACTGCTGGCCTGCGACTGTACCGTGCCTTCACTACTACAGTACTACGGTACTGCCGCCACCACCATCACTACCACACACCACCACCACACACGCTACCATACCCCACACACACAGCACCATACCCCACACACACACACACCACCACTACCACGCATCACCCTCACGCACACACACACCATCATCTTTTATTTGATTATTTCTTTATAGGGATAGAAGTTAGAGTCAAAACAAATGACTACTACAGGTACGGCCCCACAGGCGTACCCCTCTCCCTCACCCGCGACCTCGACTGTCACTTGTTTACGAGCGTGTTGGTGTCAGACTCGGGGTATTTTCTATGAGGATAAATGACTCTGTTCAACCATTCACTGCCCGGCGCCTTCAAGTCGTGTGAGGAAGGCAGGATACTGTAGCACAACGCGACCTTTATAAGTCTCGCCTGCTGGATATAGTTACTATACTCTTGTAACTCTATCATACTGGTACCAGTTACAATTACTACGGTCCAGTAACTC